CATTATATGTATGTACATATGTGCATAGGTATATTAGGGTGGACCAAAAATACATGAGGGATTTTTCAAAAGTGAATAAAAGAACATATTTTTTGTTAAAAAATAATATTTGAAATGTGAAATTTGAATAATTTTAGAAAATACCGAAAGGGCTTAACATTTTAATCTTTTTTTTTGCAACTATCTTGAACTCACTACAGTCTTTCGAAAGATAAAAGTCTTTCCTAAAAGTGTTATCAATTTCGGCAATGGTCTTGAAAGCTCTTCTTTGTCTTTCGAAGACTAATTGAAAGATCTGCTAACGAGGTTAACAATTAATTTTCTAAAAATTATAATTTTTAATTTTTAGAAAATTTTTCTTTTCAAACAGTAAAATCTAAAAACTAAAGACAATTCAATTTTAAAAAGAAAAACTTAATAAAATAATTTACTAAAAATTTAATGAAATACAAAAAAATATTTTTCTTTTTATAATAAAAGAAAATTGCATTCAAAAATTATTTTCTTTTCAAATTAATTAAATCTTAAATTTAATAGAAAGTTAAGTTTAAAAAAGGTCAATCAAAGAAAACTAAATAAATTTCTAAAAATTTAATGACATTGAAAAAGTTTGTTTTTTTTATTTAAAATCTAAAAATTGAAAAAAGGCATTAAACAAAAAAACATTATTTAAAAATATACAGAAAATAACTTTCTTAAAATTAAATTTAATTTAAAATATAAAATACAGTTTTATTAAGCAATTTTAGCAGACTACATCGGTAAGTTTTTTTCGGATAAGAGTAAATTTATATTAGTTGTCTTCAGAAAAGCGGCCCAATCCTCTCAACGATCTAACAATTTTATATTAAAACCGCCTTCTATTACGTGAATATAACACTTGCATTTAAATAGTTTAATACACTTAATTTCTAACTGAGCTATTGACTAGTGTCTAATAATTGCCATTGAGTAAAACCAGTTTTGCTGTGTATTTAGATTGGCACCGGAAAATTTATATAAACAACATAAAGCTATTAAGCATGCACGCATGCCACATAGACTTTTAGGTATGCATGTATGTACATATGTATGTACATTAGACCGTACCATCTTACAAGCAAAGAAAAATATTCGCTGTACACTCCTTAGTCGCTTTTTACATTTTTCGGTGACAGCTACGTTAAGCAACTATTTCGAAATAGTTTTACTGCAATAATTGAAATACTTCCTTAGAAAAAATTTTATTATTTTTGGCGAGCTCGAGTTTACTGACATTAGGGTGGTGCATTAGGATGATAAGAGCCGAGATCTGGTGGGTAGGTACTAGAACGGTGTACTTGAGGTGAACATATATAGTGGAACAACAAGTCATATTCTCAAGGCAAAAAATCGGTATATCATACTTTAAGATCCAACTGCGATTGCCGAAGATTTGATGAAAAATAAAAAATGTGACTCCTACTTTCGGGCAAAAAAAATTTTTTTTCGAAACTGTCTTACAAAAGTACTTCAGAAACTTTTTTTTCTGGTGCCATCTAATGTACAAATATTACTGATTTTAAACAAATTAGTAAGTACTAAAATAATAGAGTATGTACTCGCAATATGAGCAATAGGTCAACGAGCGAGTATGATACTTAAGTAAACTTATTGGAAATGTATTTCATTGTTTTCATGTTACATAGCTTCTTATATATGTACATATTAATATCTGTTTTTTAAGTGATAAAGCTCTCTGTGGAATAAACCCATAATTTTTAAAGTATTGTCGTCGTATGCAATAAAATTTATTTATGAATATGTATGTATATTTTTATTCATGAACTGGATTAGTTTTATTTGTGCTTTTTTTAATCCATTAAGTGTAATAGGGTCATCCACGTTAAGGACAAAATGACAAGACCAGAGGATTAATAATATTTTTGTGGGTGCGGTGGGTGCTTAATCAAGGTATGACGGTATAAAGTTCAATATAAATTTTGCTCATTCGTAATTTATAAGCAAATAATGCTGAAATCAAAAGCCTTCTTAAATTTCTTTGGACTCAAACCCATATTGTAATATTTAATTTACTTTATCAATTTAAGTAATCGAAATTTTTCACACAGGTGGCAACCATCCATTTTTTTGTTTTAACTGAATTTGGTAAATTATTCAATTTTGGTATAATAAAGTGTAAATTTTAAGTAGCTGGGGCTTACCGTTGATTTTTGGTAATTTTTTTTTCGATTGGAGGTGTTGATCATTTTGTCGGCCATTGTCGTGTAGTGGTTAGCAGTAAGCGCTACTATTTCGCCGAGCCTGGGTTCAAGCGCTGCTGCAAAGTAAAATCGCAAAAAGATATAGAAAAATGTTTGTTTCTTTACAGTGGTCCCCCCTCGGCAGGCAATGCCAAGCTTCCGATTATCTTTTCGGAGTCGGCGTAAAACTGGGACCTACCCCCTTTGAGTGACAACGTCAAGGTGCTCGCCACAAATCGGAGGAGAAGCGCCAATCATTTGTTGATCATTCTCTCCATATAAGAAAATCTCCAGACATGCATACTACTTCGTACGGAAGAAAAGGACTAACAGTGTGAACAAAAAAATTGCTCAAAATCAACGTTAAACTTTAAATAAGAAAAAAAACTTACCGTGTGAAAATTCGACCAAGAGCTGTATACTAAACTAATTTTTTCCTTATATTAGACATATTTTATAAATTAATATAGGTTCCTATATTTTTAAACTTCATTGTTTGTAAAAAAAAATTGAAGCAAAAAATTTAACTAACAGTTTTTTTTTTCATTATTGCTTAGTATTTGCATCTTAATTCCCCCTATTCCAGAAGTCTTTTAGTTCCTGTAGTACATTATCTTCTACTTCAGTAAGACTCTGCCTCTTCATTTGCAGGTTACGCCTTTTTTCCTCTGCTAGCTCCTCTTTCTGGAGGTCGTAGAGCCAGTCTATACCCCGATAGATTTTTATTTATGGTTTGCTATTGCTTCTTCATGGCATGGCACATTTCTTTTGGAATGCCCAACTCCTATACAATAACGCCCGCAGATGCTGAGCTTTTTCTGACGGTGATTGATACTCATACCGGTATTCAGTATCTCAGATATTCGTCTGGCGGCAAAATCTCTGTTGTAGTTGCAGGAGTTCTGACAAATAACCCACCTCGAATGTTTTCGCCACATCTCCATTGGGTTCCTGCATAGCAATTAATTTAGCTCTGTATTAGGCCCAAGGTAGCTTTACTGGCTTTCAGATTTTGAGCCGCCTAGTGTCGCATGTAGGTTTTTTTTTTTTGATCGGACCATACCTGTAATGTGTTTTTCGAATTTATCAGTCTCACCTTCTTCCACTCAGACACACACACTTCGATAAGGGTCCGGCCAAGTTTAACTCAGCCTCAAAGCTCTGCCAATATCCACCTGGCTTTAAAAACCCCGCGTGCGATATTTGGGCGATATAGCAGCTTATTCGATGCTTTTGACCTAAATTTAAAAACTATGTTATAAATTTACTGTAATATATAGAAACACTTATTGCAGTTTTCTTTAAAAATTAATTAATTACATACATTTTCGCAACCGAGTCTTCTCGTAAATTATTGGCGAAATAATTCTTATAAAATGTCATCATATTCTCTTTTTCTATGTTCATTCGTAATGCCTACCTTTTTCTCCGCTTAGAAATCCGATAATTCGAAGTTCATTTAGAATCAAAAACAGTACAAACTACTAGATACTTAGCCTTTAACGCAGCTGATTGCACTCGTGAAGTGGGGAAAAAAGCCGTACAAGTCCGTGAGCTGTACTCATCTCAACCGATTAATTTATTTCTTTATAAAAATCTACATCAACTCTCATAAATATGTACATACATTAGACTGCATTACTCCCTATACAAAAAAAAATCGGCACTGGTTTTCCATTAGAATTATAAAATCCATTATGTTTTAAGACTTTCACCAAAAAATATTAAAGTTAACGTGAGCTGGACCGATTTGAAAATAGATCTAAAAATTAGTTGTTTAAGTATTTTTTGAAAAAAAGTTATTTTTTTGTTTAATATATTTTTTGATAAAAAAGTTTTTTTCCCTTTTAAGTGTTTTTATTAAAATTTTTATTCACGAGGTATACAAATATGCATATCACAAGAATTTAAAACGATACAAATTTTTTAAAACTCGGTCAGTAATTTTTTTGTTTAATATATTTTTGTATATAAAAAAAGTATTTTTCCTTTAAATGTGTTCTGTCTCAAATTTTTAAAAACAAAGTATATAAATATGCATATCACAAGAAAGGGGATTAAATCACCTTTACAACGATATGAATCAATTCAAAATTTTCTGAAATATTAAAATTTTAATTTTTCGAAGATCTGACATTTGACCCGTCATAACACCTGTAATATAATTTTCCTCAAAAAAAGTTACATACCATATAAATAAGAGAAAAAGGCGGACCACGTTTGTATTTCTAATTTTTTTCTTTTTACATGCAATAATTAAAAATCATTTTTTACCAAAAGTCCGATTTCGAACTTCGAAGGCCCATAACTCGATTTCGGAGGCTACTTCGAAAAACGGAGAACTTACTTTTTTACTTATGACTCAATCTCTTAAAAAAGTTGCTTTGGCCCATTACCCAGCCGAGTGCTGCACAGTATTATGATTCCGTTGACATAATTTTTTTTTTTAATTTTTATGCAGATTTTTTAAGCTTAATCTGTTTTGTCATCTAAGTGAAGTTTTTTCAAAAAATCCCTCAAGAAACTATTTTTATTCACTAAAAAATCCACTTTGGTAGGTATTTTAAAATCAGTCCAGCTCACGTAAATCTTAAAATTTTTCCAAAATATTTTGGTGGAAGTTTTAAAATATAATAAATTTTGTAATCCCGGCAGAAAACCCGCAACTTTTTTTAGTGATGCAGTCTAAAGTACATATATTCATAACTACAAATATTATTCATATTCATTGTTAAATCTTTAACTTTAATCCTTGACAGACGAAACCTTTACATTCCTTCAGTTAAGCTTCTCTTTGGCGTGCTGCAGCATCAGTCTTGATATACTTTTGTAGGGCAACTCGAATAACAGGGTTAAAATCGTGCAAATAAAGTAGAGAATAGCACAATAGGCAAGATAATCCATTGACTGAAATATAGGAAAAAAAACATAACACGAAACAAGAAAATTTTTAAATGGAACAAAAAAAAAATACATATGTAGATATGTTTGTTTTCATCATCAACTCACCAATCTAAGCGGTGTAGAGGGGATACTTGCATTGCCAAATGCCGCCACCACTTGAATAACGATTGGATTCATTAGGAACAAAGCATAGGTGATTTGATTGAATTTCTTGAAAATTGGGTTCTCCAAAATGGCAAAGAACCACTTTACGCAACCCGCAGCTTTTGAAAATATCAAACAACAGACACTCGCTGAAAACAGCAAACGGTGCAGCACCAACACCGCAACGTAGTAAAAATTCGAATGCCCCGAAGCGAAGGTTGTAAAATTGCAAGTGAAGAATACAATAATCGCCAAGTAACCGAGAAACTCTTGCAACGATTGATTCTGAAAGAAACGCGCATGGAGTTGATGCTTTTGATTTTGTACGAAATACCAGCCAGCTACACCGCCTATTATGTAAGCGAAGACGCGTGACAGCGGATGCATGTAGAGCTCGGTGAAGAGTGTTAAGGTTGTTTCCAATGAATATTGAAAATTCATGGTCAGGCCGATGTAGAAGGTGTACGCCAAATTTGCTGGTACAAGGAATAGCGTAAGAACACGCGCCGCTTTCGGTTGTCTGCAGAGAGAGAGAGAGAGAGAGAAGAGAAAAGGAAGGCGGTTTAATGCATGTCTCACTTTCATGCATGTACGAGTACATATTTAGCTATCACACTGCATACTTACTTCACATAAACGAAGAGCAAAATTGTGCTAATTAAATAAAATTGCATATCACATGCCGAAGACCAGGTCCAAAACATGCACATATCCTCGTGAGTGAAGAGATTTTGTATGAAGAGTGCATTTCGCCACCAATACAATTCGCATTTCTCGTACGCTCGATAACTAAAATGGTAAACTGATAGATCGTCTATCATAAGACTTCCGGTGTCGGTTATGCAGTTGACAATTAAATAGAGTGGGCCCAATCTGTGTGTAGTGCAAAAGGATAAGAAAAAAACAGGAGTTACTATTTTGTGTCACAAAAGTAAAAAAAAGCTACATGTGCTGAAGCTTAAGTGATGTTTAGGCAAATACATATAGCTCAATTACTTCAATAGTGTCATAACTCAAAAAAAAACCAAACTCGAGAAAAGCGGCTTTATATGTACATAGTTGGTTACCACAAAGCCTAACGGAAAAACGAGATCGAAGGCAAAGAGGCAACCCTGAGTGCTATGAAGTACACTACAAGGAGATCTGCTACCATCACTTTTATGGATGTGTATGATTATAGAAGGACGAATTAGGTAATAGTTATTAAACATCATGTCAGAATGACAGACAGCATTAGGAGCCTTCCAATCACACGTTCCAATATTACCTTGTGGTAGGCTCCAGGACATGAGGGTTTTAATGGCAACGAATGACCTAAGATACACGCAAAAATTCGAACCCAAAAAAGAGCATAAAGGCAAAATCTTCCGAGTAAGCGAACATGTTTCTACTCGTGTATGAAGCCTAGCGATAAAGGAGCAAAATATTTTTGATGTGTATTTAAATATCTTAGCTGTTGGCATGGCTACAATTTGCGTTAACCCAGCAGGAAATCTATAATTGCTTCTTGTGGGTACAAATGGACATTTCTGAAATAGTTCAGAGTTATTTCAAGACCATTTCGGGGCCATTTCGGACCTGTTCTGTACTGGTTTAGAACCATTTTGAAACTTTTATGGATCGTTTCAAGACTAGTTGGGGATCATTTTGGAGACATGTTCAGTAGGGTGCCCATCGAAAATGCTTTTTTTTTTGGAAATTGTAAGACCCTACCCCTTAATTTTATTCGTTTTTATCAGAAATATTGTTGCCTATTTTTATAAATTCTTTAAAGGTCGTTTAGAGGTCGCGACTTGTCGATTTAGGTCAGAAAATAGGATTTTGTAGATATATGAGTGTTTTAATAACTATTTTGATTCGATTTCAAAGATCGAATATGTTCTCACAAAATGATATATAGGCCTTTAAATCTGACCGATCTCGACCAAATTTGGTATAAACATTGTGCATAGCCTTCTTAAGTTGAATATTTTTGAAATCGAACAAAACCTACTCCTCCTAAAATATAAGTAGCTGTGAGTTTTTTTGAAATTACCGTTACGTTGGTGGAGCCCGTGGCTTTTGTCCGATTGGTCTGGATATTTGAGAACCATTTTGAGCCTAGTCCTGCACCATTTCGAGAGCAGTTCAGGGCTAGTATGGGATAATACTGGGAGCAGTTAAGTAACATTTTATGGACTAGTACAGAACTATTTTGGGACTATCTCTGGCTCATTTAGGACACTTTTCGGGACAATTTCTGAGCTATTTCCTGACTATCTCACACCTATTTAGTGTTCAATGTGGGACTAAATATTTCTGGACCATTTTACACTAGTTTTAGCTTTTTATCAATTTTTATTATTTGTATACTTTTCCAGAACCTCTTCAGGACTAATCCAGGAAAATTTTATAATAATGCCAACACTTACCTTATCAAGCGATGCGCTAGGTACATGAATATTAGCTTCACACACTTCCATAAGTCAGATTTGCGTATTTTCTCAATTGTACTGCTGTTCCGGAAGAAATGATATGTCTGCAAGAAGCCACTGCAAAAAATATAAAAAATTTGGTATAGGTTACATGAAAATATAGCGAACAATTAAGAAATGCAAAAGCCCATACGACGAAAATGTACTTTTGAAAAAGAAGAAAAACTACCCCACCTTTTTTTAGTTTTCTATACAAATTAAAAAGCGTTTTCTAAAGGAAAATTAAAAAATTTACGATTGAAATTTAAAACTAAGTATGAATTTTTAGCAATTAAAAGTGTAGACATAAAATACTTGTCCATAAAAAATTAGTCATAAATTTTTTAAAAATTAAAACTAGGCATAACTTTTGCTAACACGAAAGGAAGGTAGACATATTTAGTTTATAAAAAATGTAAAATAATTATTTCTAATTAAAACCGTAGACATAAATTTTTGACCTTTTTAAAAGTAGACCTCAATTTTTGGCCGTTTAAAAATTTAGCATAAATTTGCTGGTTCAGTTTCATTTGTTCAGCTTCTAATGGAAAACGAAAAAAAAAATTGCTATTGAAGTTAAAAGCTAAACATGCATTTTTGGCAACTTAAAATGTGGACATACATTTTTTTTTAAGAAACCTTACATTAAAAAAATAGACACACGTTTTTTATCTTTTCAAAGGGAGGCATAAAATTTTTTAAAAATTGAAAATAACTTTTTCCTAAAAAGCTCCCTAAATCTCTTACCGCACCCCTTAAAAAACCAACCTTATTGTGAAGAATAAATCCACGAAGACCTCAAAATTTCCCAAATCATTGGTGAATTTGAATTGTTCCGACTTATTGCTCGTCACCATAAAGGTAACCCAAAGCTGATGATATAGAATCACACACATTGCACCATACCAACGCAAGCCATTCACTCCAGGAAATAAAACATTTCCATCCATTACTCCATCTTCACCAGCTGGAAATAGCAATTCAAAATTGTTTAGCACATCAAAACAATCCAAATATCCTTTGCCAGTCAAAGGTTCTGCACTCGATTTAGGCTTCGCCACCGCAACACCTGCACTATTCTTCTTCTTTCGATCACCGTTAGCCACCATACCAGCAGTTTCATTATTTCTCTTCATGCGCCGCGATAAAGCCACGACTGTCAGTAGCAGCGTCAAGAACAAGGACACAGCTAAAATGATGAACGAAGGACGCGCTAAAGAGCCCGGACGCATTTTAAGTTCCTTAACGCTGTCCACACGTAGCCGCAAATTAAAAATATCATTCGCTAAAAATATCTCATCCTCTACATAAATGTCCATTAGTTGGGCTATCTCGGAAAGTGTGCACGCGGTTGGCAGGCAAAGGCCGATAGAGACGCGTGGTTCATAGTATGGTAAAATTGGATCCATTTGCAAAGTAGAGTTATGCCAGAGATGGACGACACGAAAGTCAACGGGAAATGGTGCAATGTCTGTGATTAGTTTCGTATCCATTTTGTGTGGTAAATGTTTAGATATTTTGAGATTGACTGGCTGTTTAACGGAATCACAAGTGTTCCGGCTGCCCAGCCATAAGCCGTTGCCTAACACAAAGCCAGGCTCCCTGGAACCTGCAGCATCGTACACTGTAGAAGAGAAACAGAAAGGGGAAAATGAAAATGAAAAGGTTGTTAATTGTTTTAGATGATTTGTGCTTAATATATGGGACACGCGAATCATATATTGTTTAGCTAAAGGAGGATGGGAGACCAGGTTGAGAGTTGGGATCGTGTTAAAAGAGGTCGACATAACCTTTGGTTTGAGTTATTTATAGAGCTTAAAAGCGAGGATATCCGTAGTTAGCCAATGTCTTCCATAAAGGTGGGACCCGTGCACGAATCCATGCATAGCTGCTGGTGGGGCGTAGAAGCCGTAGCTTACTGCCGGGTTCCAACATTACTCTGAGAGTAGAGTGTGGGCAAGCATCGTGTGATGTGTCAACAGCTCGGATTACCGCTACGGAATTATATGCTGCGAAAACTATAAGAAAGGCTAAGACAGCTTCTCATGTCCTTGTATACAAAGCAAAGATGCCTGATTATATTCATTAGGTACTTTAAATGGTTCAGGTACCAAAAATGTTCATCTCCTTTCGAAAATGCGCCAGTTGCTCGTTTCGAGAGCGGACAGGTGCTGCTGTATTGGATTCGTCCACTGTGTTCCAGGGCGCACTTTAATTTCTTGACCGCCTATGGAGAACGAGTCGAAGGATCTTTTCACTGGAGCCTTGTCATCCGTGTGTACAACATGTCCAATTGAGCACAATCTTTGTATTTTTATGCGCTTAACTGTGTATGTTAATTTCATTCCAACTTCTTCGGTAGTCGTCTCCTATTTGTTCGACATCGTCCATGTTGCTGCACCGTATCAAAGGGGGGCATGATGAGAGATTTGTATGGCGGAATTTTTTCTGTTCGTCCACAGATAGCTCTGTTTTCAGTTCCTACCGAGCGCAAAGCAGCACCTGTGGGCAAAAGTTATCACTACTTCCTTCAATACTTCGAAGTTATAATCGCCAACAGTAACGTATTTCTCCTTTGCCGTCCTTATTCGCAAATAGGCCTACCTTTTTTGCTTCTTTCTCCAAGTTGGTTAAGCCAGCGGAAGAGTTAAATTTCCAGTCGCGATGTTAGGCTTCATATTTTGGCCTGATTGAATGCTGAACGCTTCCGGACCACCTTCGGGCAGAAAGGCCTATATATCCAAGAGTAGGGCATACGTATCCCTTTCTTTAAAATTAGAACACGGTACAGCATCCTCGGCGGAAACTTCCAGATTAAGCAGAAAGCCTGCTCCCAGGAGACTAATCCTCAGTCTGCTAAGAGTCGAATACTCACAAAACATACGTCTCCTCTTTCGTTCCACATCTCCTACAGATTTTATCATTGGTCAGAGCTAGTTTGAAGGCGTAGCCTCTTGAGGGATAGGAGGAGTTTCATGAGCGTATAATCCTCGACACTTTGGATCACACTCGACACTTCCTGGATCATGGACAAGTCGAGCTCCGCATAAATCTCCTGGGCGGAAATCGACATTTCCTCTACCATAATAGTTTTCGACAGAGCAGCCTTCTCGTTGTCCACCACACTGGTATGCCCCAGAACCCAGTACAGATATAAGTACGTCTGCAACAGTATGTAACAAATGCAAAGCTACACTGCATTCCGCCATACTTATTGAGGAAGTGCCTTTATCGTAGCGTGACTGTCGATTCGCTAGATTGTTACTCAGTACCTCACCCGCCCCTCTTGAGGAATTGATGGGAAATACTGCAGTAGTCCGGCAGCTTATAGGACCTATTGAGACCGAGCTCCGCGCAGACAACTGCCACCCTACTCCTTTCGTTCTCTAGAGCCATATTTATTCGTCTATCAACATTTATCTTCCCCTCCTTAAAGCATGTTGTGCCCTTGTGAGCATGCATCCCACTACGTTTTGTTTGATCTTTACCTAAATTAACCTCTACAGGGTCTTTGAAAAAACGATGTTAGTCTAAAGGACTGATAGTTCTTGGGGTATAAGTACCCACTTCTGTCCACTTTTGTCAATAATATGACCCTCGGTGCCTTGAAGAGGTCTTCAAAAAATGTTGCACAGCCAGCCCTTGATCTTCTGAACCGCATTTGGCAACATCGATTTAAAAATGCCATTGAGACCCAGCGACTTATACTGCGAAAAGGAGCCCAAAACCCCCTCTAGTCTGGTTGGCGTCACCAGTTGTCTTGCAAGGCTATCCGCGCCTGCGATTGTTAGTTAGTTTTTTTAGACAGTTGGTATTTTTTTTTTTTAATACAAAAACATTTTTTTTGTTTTACATTCAGTTATTTCACACTCACTTTTTATTGCCCACGGTTGTTGTTGCAGTATGGCCTTTTGCATAATCTGCAGTTGGCCATGACATCTGGCATTAACGAAATCTGGGCGACTGATTGTTGTCAAGCCAAATAAAATCGACGATCGTTGCATTGACTCGAATTGAGCGCCGTTGTTATCGGCAAGAGCTGGCTTACAGAAGACACAGCAACATAGCAGGATAAAGAATAAACTGAGTGGATATAATCTGTGTTGGAACATTTTGGCGCGTCTCTCTATTCACTTAGTTTTTCAGTAAATTTTTAATTTTCATAATTTTTTTTTTTAGAATTGGGCTAAAATTCTAAATTTCAAGATTCACTCGCAAATTTGTTTACTATTTTTACTGCAATTGCTTACACATGATTTTTTTCTATATAAAATTTCTTAAAACTTTTCACAAATGCACGCACAGTGTACTAAATTACTTTTCATTAAATTTAAAGGCAATTATTTTATAATCCTTTTCAACGACAATTTTTTTTCTATTCGATTTTATTTCAACGCTGCCTTCAACTCACTATAAATTAAATATTTACTAAGGAATTATATATATATATATATTTTTTTTTCTTTACTTTCAATTCGCATTAGTAAAAAAAGGGGAATTCAGAATTTCACATTCGTTTCAAAAAAAAACTTCACTGCACATTTCACGCGTTACGGTTCAAATCGACATGGCGTCGCATGCAAGTCAAAGAAAACTGTAAGTAAAATTTCTTGCATTCTGATATTTATTAAATTAGAATGGAATGAAATCTTTGTAATTAGCAAATAATGCAATGAATTTTAGGTAAGTATTATGTTTAATATTGTCGTTAAATGATCATCAATATTTATTAGTTAAATTATAAATATATAATATATAGATAAGTATGTAATAACATTTATGTCAATTGGCTGTATATTTGCTCGATGAAAAAATGCTCATGCGTTCACGTATGTAGATATGTGCGTTAGGGCGGGTCAATTTGTACGGGAGATTTTTTCGACTAAGCGCGTATAGCACAGAAGGATTCTATGTGTAATTCTTAGCAAATTTTGCCGCAGAAACCATTGAGCTAAAATCGATTTAGAGTTTTCCAAATTGCGAAAATAGGTTTCTTAGCATTTTGCTGTAATAAATTTCGTAATAAAGTGCGCTTGAAAAAAGCGGCCTAATCCTGCCAATGATCTATCAATTTTATATTAAATCCACTTTCTATCATTTCAAAAAGTTAAATACAATTAATTTTCAACTGAACTATTGACTACTGTATACAAATTTTCATATATAAGTACATATGTATATCATTTAATATCTTTTAATGATCGAGTACTCTTTGGAATAAATATGGAAAATTGGAATTAATGCATGCATATAAATTTATTTATGTATGCTTGGCAAGGGCGTAGCAAGGCCTCCACCTATGGGGTGCATGAGTTTATATAGACGAAAAAAATGTTGGGCCTGGGCCCAACTTGTTTCTGCGTTCAGTCTGGGCTTAACTGGTTTTTGCCAATCCTTTGCGAAAACTTCGTGACGGCACAACATTGGCGCTTTAATTATGGATTTGCCCATACAATTCGAGTAGTTAATTAATAATTTCCGCTAAACTCAAGTACTTTAAGCATCAATACTTTTACCCAGTACATTAGACAAGACTTAATTCTTCGGCTCTGAGTGCTTAAAAAAATCAGACTTATTAATATTTATAGAGCATGCAAAAAATGTTTAGAGACCCCTCCATCGTATACGCCCATGATGAATGGTTATATTTATTCATGAGTTACATTAATTTTACTTACTTATTTTTTTATAGCCGCAGCTCATTTAACGACAAAATAACGTCACTAAAACATTAGTAATATTTAAGTGGACGCAGTTAGATTTCAAAGTATAAAGTTCAATTTACCTTTTAAATACTTCGCCAAATGTATAAAACTTACGCATGTATGTACATATGTAGTTTCGAGAGAAATGTTTCAAGTTCAAATTTCACAGTTGAAATCTGGTTATTAATTTTTATTAAAACGTGAATCACACGTTTGCTTTCACTAGCAATCAATTGAAGAGCTCGTGTTTGTATTCATATTCAAAGTGATGAATGAAATCAGAGAATCTCCCAAAGGCGTATCTAGTAATTTGTCACAAAATCATTTTTTTTTTTTTTAATAGTTTGTGAATTATATATGTACCTACATTAGACTGCATCAATTCCCATACAAAAAAAAAAAAACTGTACTTTTTTCCATTGCAATTATAAAATCTATTATATTTTAAGGCTTAAGTCAAAATATTTCGGAAAAATACTAAGATTTACGTGAGTTGGACCGATTTGAAAATACCTCTAAAAGTCGAGTTTTATCTGAATAAAAATAGTTTCTGAAAGATTTTTTTTTTGTTAAAGTCCCCTCAAATGATAAAATGGTTTAAGCTTAAAAAATTTGCAAAAAACTATTTAAAAAATTTTCAACAGAATCATAATAATGAGATTTTTAATGCTGTTTTTATAATTTTTGTCAAAAATTTGTATAAGAAAAACCTGAATAACTGAACCTAAACTATTCCCATTTGGACTTGTGAGGTATCATTGGAAAGGTATTTTCTCACTTTTTTTATTCCTTTGCTAATAAATTCATTCAAAGGGCGAAAGGGAAGGTAGGATGAACGAGTGTCATTCCAAGTTGAATTAAGATGTGTTAGTATTTGAAAAAAAAAATGGTATGTGAATGAGTTGTTTTTTTGCACAGAATTAAAAAAAGCAGGAAAATACCATTCTACTGACACCCCATAACCGGAACACCATAGACCGGAATGGTTTTGACCCAGTTGTTGTTGTCAAGTTTTCGTAAATCAATCTTTGAAAAAAGTTAAAAAACAGCATCAAAAATCTTATTATTACGATTCCGTTTTTAGAATATTTTTAGGCAGATTTTTAAATATTTTTATGCAGATTTTTTAAGCGTAATCTGTTTTGTCATAGAGTCCTTTAAGAAACTATTTTTATTCATATGGGACACGTGGCATCAGTGCTACTTAGTATCTGTCAAAAAAATTTCGTGACTCAAAGAGTTTTCTTAAAGCTGAAATTCTTCAAAATAATAATTATATAAAGTTAATAAAGGTCACAGTCAAACTCATTTGTGATAGGAACACGTCAGTCAGCAGTCGATAGAAGTGAGAATGGTAACTGCTGGTAGTTAATTTTTACAAAAGAATAGCCCAGTAAAATTATACTTTTTCTATAACAAAAAACAATTTCTAGTAGCGAATTTTTGATGCAATTTACTGCTATTTAGCACGTAGATTATGGATCTACAGCCTTTCCCCTAAATCTCAAATGGGAAACTTTCGCCATTTTGGATTTTGTGTTTTTTGTGATTTGCGAGCTTATTATGGATTTTTCGCAAAAAATTGCAGAGAAATTTGTTCTAAATAATTAGCAAAAACAGGAAAAAAAATCTTAGATTGTCATGGCCTTGCCATTTTTCGATGATTTCTGTTAAAAATACGTAGCATATTTAAATGTTAGTATTTGGCCGAGGTTCTCCTCGGATTTGTGGCGTGTGCCTTAATGTTGTCACGCAAAGGGGAGAGACAATGTCATAATTCAGAAATAAAAAAAATTTACTCCGATTTCGATTATTTTTTATGAATAAGCAGTAATTACTCAAGGACTGATCAATCAGAATCTGATTAACCTCTCTTCTTTGATTTGACATTAAATTTTTTACAACAAAAAAGAATAAAATTGGGTAAGTCTTTCGAATGAAAAGATGAAGATAATTCAAATAAGCAAGTACTCGATATTTTGCCGATATTGAGTAGGTATAGATACTTTACGTCTTATGAATACAACTACTGACTAGAGTGATACCGTGGTGGTATCGATTGAACCCTAATAGTGCATAAATCTATAACAATTATATAAAACTAAAATGTATGGTTTTTATCTCCGATAAACTACCAAAATTTCAAAGATTTGCTTGTCATTCACAATAACACATTTTTACAATATACATAAAAAGCAAGTAATAATAAGCATTAGCATAAGTCTACTTTAAGTACAAAGTTCTATTCGACAACATACGCACTGTAAAGCATTGCCAGCTAGTTTCATTATAAGGCTGTACGCTTGAACTCGTTGATCTTAGCTTCATAAGCATATATGATTTTTAGTAAAGAGCTGTAAAAGCAGCCAATAAATACTTTTTAAATAATAAATAATTTTACTAAATAATATATCATTTAATTAGTAAATCATTTTTAATAACAGGTCGTTGTGGAATATTTACCGGCGCATTAGATTATGCAAAACTGCTATTTATTGCTGTAGCAAGTTACTTGTTGACGGCAAAGTAAACTTACTGACCTTAATGACTAAGCAATGACGACAGTAACATGCAATTTTATGATAGGGTTTCATAGCTTTACTAAAATGCAATAAATTAAAAAGAAAAAAAATCTAATAAAATTCTACTTATTTACATTTGTTAATACAGTTAACTAACAACAAACACTATTGTGGCTAATAAGTACCGAGGCGTATTAGTACTTATTTAGTGTGTACTGCATACATATATACAAACGTATGTACATACATACATACATATGTTTCGAGCAAGTAAACTAGTTATTTCTATGCTCGTGAACGCTTTGACGTTTGAGTTGATGAAAAATCTGGATTACCTCTGCACTAGAAAATTGCACAAAATACACTGTGATATGCTTTTTGTTATTCTCTTGTCATGCCTTATCTTGATTATTCTCTTTGTTCATTCTTTGCTTAGCCGGCATATGCAAATTTTAGAAAATTTCTTTTCATACATATGCTCATCGCACTGCAATCGAAATGAAGTTATTGCTATCGAATTCTTGCTGATTAGCTTATTCTCATTTCATCACTGCTGTCATCGTAGAACCAAAGCCATTTTGTTCATAAATCAAAGTCAATCATGTGCCAATAGAAAAATGTTTCTATCTTTCGCTCGCCACTATTCTCATGTCATTCGTTATTTGATTTTTCGTTTGGGGAGACTTTTCTTTTCATACGACTAGGACATAAATACAAACATATATACATGTATGAGAATTTTTCTGCCGTAATTAATGCCATAAAAATAATGAATACTGAGATTCGATATATGTCTGAGTTTAAGATCATATACATACTTACGAGTATAATAGATAATGCAAAATAAAACAATATTTTGGCGCCTATATTTTACTGAGCATTCGC